GTGGAGGACATCACAGAGAAGCAGCTTGTGGCAGGCAGAAGCCAGCAAAGCAGAGTAGTGAAAAAGCAGCAAGTGACAAACAGCAAAAAACAGCAGTTCCCCCTCTGTTCCTTTTATTCTATCCAGGCTAATAGGTGGGGTAGTATATTCACAGCCTGGGTGGGGCACCCTTAATCCTAGCATCTACCATGAATCCCAGGTTCACATCCTAAATCCCATGATTATACACCTTCAATCCAGCCACCTATGAAAAGCCCCACCTATGACTGCATGAGGCTTTAGGGAGACATCTAGATATATGCCTATAAGCCGTAACAGTGACTATGTCAGAACTGATAGGGCTGGAGAGATGGCTCAGTGGTCTAAAGCACCTACTTAGAACAAGCTTGGCAAAGCACAGGGCCCGCGGTTCGATCCCCCAGCACCACATGCCAGCCAGCCGCGCTGAGCTGGCCACACACACACACACACACACACACTAAATAAATGTTAAAAAAAAATTGAAAAAAAAAAACCTGATAAGTAGGGCCCAAATAGCTCAGTGGATTAAAGCACCTGCAAGCAGGCACAGGGGCCAGGAGTTCAATCCCCGGACCTGCCATGCCAGCCCTGCCCCTGGGATGCGCTGAGACTGCAAAGGTAGAAGAGAGGCCTGAGATAGGCCTGTTTATGTGGTAAGAATACTAGATTTCTGTTTGTTTGGTACCAGGAATCAAACTCAGGGCCTTGAGCTTGCTGGGCAGGACCTTGTACTTGCCACTGAGCTATATCCCTGGTCCCAAGAATGCTAGATTTCTTCTAATTTTTTTCTTTTTGACTAGGTATTACCTCCATTTGGTAACACATTGAAAGAATATAAAAAGTTATATGGTGAAAAATAAATATTTTTTTAATCTGTTTGCTTTTTTAATTTTTAAAAATATTTTATTTGGTATAGGATCTTGCTACACAGCTCAGATTCATGGTGATCCTCCTGTCTCAGCCTTCCCATGGCTTATAGGAAGCATCACACCTGGTTTCTGTGGCCAGCCAGCGCAGCGTGCCTAGGTTCCAGGCCCACACAGCATGTGGTACCAGTACCAGTACCAGGGATCTAACCTGGGTCCTTGCACTTGCAGGCCACACTTAGACCACCGAGCTATCTCCCTAGCCCTAAGGCGTTTTTTGTTTTTGTATTTTGGGTTTTTTTGTATTTGGTAGAGGGTCTCACAACAAAGCTCAGACTTGTAGTGATCCTCCTGTTTTCAGCCTCCCCAGCGCTGGGATTACAGAAGTGCACTACCACACCCAGTCTCACTGGCCAGCTCAGCACACCCAAGGGCAGAGCCAGCATGGCATACAGTACCGGGGATCAAACCCCCAGCCCTGTGCTTGCCTAAGTAGGCACTTAGTCCACTGAGCTATCTCACTCCACCCCCCCTTTATTTTTTAGGTTTTTTTGTGGAACCAGGGATTGAACTCAGGCCCTTGCACTTGCCAGGGAAGCTCTTATTCTACTGAGCTATCTCCCTGGTGCCCCCCCTTTTTAAAAGAAAATAAAAAATAGTATTAAAACAATATTGCAGGGGCCAGGGAGATGGCTCAGTGGAATATGCGTTTCCCTGGCAAGCTCAAGGCCCTGGGTTTCATCCTCGGTACCAATAAAAAAAAAAAAAAAAAAAAAAAATGCAAATGATGGAGAATTTCACTAAAAATAATTTAAATTTAACAATATTTGTTGTATTGTGTAGTGTTGTCTTCAAATTAGTTGTAAAATAATTATTTATTTGCGGTACTGAGAATTGGACTCAAGACTTTGCACTTGCCAGGCAGGCACTGTGCCACTGAGCTATATCCATGTCAGCCCATTTTTCTGTTTCATTTTTCTTTTTTTTTTAATTACTTGCCTGCACTATGAATCTGAAGTATACTGAAGTTTACTTAAGAATATGGCCTGGTACGGATATTTGTTATAATATCTAATAAGATGGGCATGCTAGTGTACTCTCTAATTCCACCCGGCACTTTGGAGGCTGAAGCAGGAAGATCATCACCAGTTCAAAGCCAGCCTGAGCTACAAATTGAGTTCAAGCCCAGCCTAGACTACAGAGTGAGACCTTATCTTAAAAAACGAACCAAACAAATAAAAAAATATAATAAAGTTGGTTGTTTGCTTTTCATGTGAAAGGCAGGTAAGTGAAATGATTATCATTTTTCCTAATTTCTCTAAATTTCCTTGTAATCCAAAATAACTGTTTCTTTATGATCATGGCCTTGTGTTGAAAAGTATGCTGTTAGCAATCAGATGAGTAGGCATTATGTGTACAAGGTTTTTCATACTGTGTATGTAAGGTCATGGCTGTTTCTCTTTTCTTACTGCATTGCATATTTTACCACTGAAGAGAGAAATAAATCTACCATTTATTGCTGGATTATCTAGTGCCTACTTGTTTGGCACATGTGTTATCTAAGCTCGCCCTTCCTTCCTTGCTTCCCCACTCCCTTCCGTCCTTGCCATCCCTGGAAGGCTTCCTTAATGGTAATTTAACCAGCACATCATGATATTTCAACCTCTCTTGGCTCTTGTCCATAGATCTAGTGTTTTGCTCTTTCATTTTTTTAACTTCAGATTTCATTCTCCAGTTAAATATTAATCAAAGATTAAAAATTTTAGATGGTACAGAGAAGAGATGCTACAGAGAGTTCCCATAGGGGCTGGGGATATAGCTCAATGACACAGCACTTGCCTGGCAAGTGGAAGACCCTCCTTTGCCTACCTTCCACCAATGACCTTTTTTTTCTTCTGTAGCATTCAATTCAAGATAATTCATTACTAAACTGAGTTTTCACATTTCCTTAGTGGGCTCTGATCTGTAATGTTTCAATCATTTCTGACACTTTGATGTATATTAGCTGTTTTATGTATTTTCTCAATTTTGGTTTGTCAAATGTTTTCTCATGATTAGTATGGGGTTGTGAATTTTGGAGGGGAAAATACACAGATGAAGAGCCCTTCTCATTGTGGCATCTCAAGGGAGTACATGTGACTTATCACTGGCAGTGTTAGCCTTGATCCCTTGGCTGAGAGGGCACCTGTCAGCTTTCTCTGCTATGAAGTTCCTGTTCTCTCCTTCCCGTGCACTGTTCCCTGTAGTGATCACTAGGTGTGGTGGTATACACCTGTGGTCCACCTTCTTGGAGGCTGAGATAGGAGGATTGTTTGAACCCACAAGTTTGAGACTGGCCTGGGCAATGAGACTCTGTCTTTAAAAAAAGATGGGCAGGGCACAGTGGTGCACATCTGTGATCCCAGCACTGAAGAGGCTGAGGTGGGGGATCACCAAGAGTTTGAGCCCAGCCTGGGCTACATAATGAAATCTTATGTCGAAACAAAACAAAAACTCCTGCCTATTGGTACTAAATAAGACCCTTCATACTTTTGGCATGATCTGGACCAAGAGATCCAGCTGACTTTGTGGGTGCTGGAAACCTTGAATTTGTGATCCCCATTATAGATCCCAACTCTAGCTGTTTCTGCAGGCTTCCTAATCAATTGACAAATCAACATCCTTCAGGGTGGTGAATATGTATGTACAGTCACTTTTTGTACCAAAGCCACTCCCAAAGGGAAACCTTATTTCCTGCAATGTGCAGTCATTAAACTGGTACAAACTCTGGAGGACCAGTCTATCCAGCAGCACTTGGGCCCTGGTTGTATCTTTTGCCACCTTGCTAACTCTGTTTTATTTCCATATGTCTCTTTTGCTTCAGTTAGCCTCATGGCAATAAGGTCATGTCGCTCTTGAGACTTTGAGATTTGCTTTATTCATCAGATTGGATATCAGAATTTTCTTCTGAAAGAAAATAATAATAAAAAAATTTTAAAAAAACACAATGCAGAAAAAAAAGGAATTTTCTTCTGCTGCTCAATATGCTTTTCTTTCTTTCTTTTTTTCAAAATAATTTTATTGAGAAACAAATAGCAATGAGA